GAGAGGAGGGCGCGAGGAAGGGATGGATGGTGCCGGAAAAACGAGGGTAGTCCAAGTCTGTGCGGTTAGAGTTAGGGTTAGGGTTAGGGTTGTGCGATGTCGAAGAGGTGAGGAGGAAATGGGTCGTGTGTTTTAGGAAGATGGACAGAGATCAGAACAGGAGGCAAAGGACGAGTCAAGCCACCACATAAAGTCGCCCATCGACGTCTGGATATCAGGATCAATGCCATGATGCATTCGGGTGCGAGGCGTCTCTAGGAGCCGGGATGACCGCTTCGAATGAGGTCACAGGTTCAACAAGCAGTTTAGACGACAGCTGAATATGCTCTCATCTCCGAGACGAGAGCGGGCATAAGAAGACTTTTCCAAGTTCAACAGGACAACCTATCCAAGCATGGTGTCAAGCCAACACTCCGGCATCATATCTCCGTAGGATTGCCTCGACGCACACCCTCGCTTGGGCTCGCCTTCCCTCTTCTCCCTCCCATTCCCTCTGTCGTACCTCATCATCACTTCCTCCTCCTGTACAGGCTTCAACGCTGCGAGGGCCGACATCAGGCCTATCGTCTCCCTCTCTCTCGCCCTTGCACATGAGGCCAGCACCCAAGGCTGAACGACCGCGAATACGCATCGAGTGATCAGCCTTGCAAACGATGCCTGTCCGCCTATGTTCCACGCTACGTTTTCACTGTCGAGAGATGCGTCTCCTCTCAAAGGCTCAATATGGGACAAAAGGAGAAAAACGAAACTTTTGACGTCCTCCTCCATCTCCTCCGCTCGCCGACGTGCGCCCGCTCTCTCCTTTTCTTTTCCTGTTCCCCTTACTCCCTCTTCCTCTCCATAAAGGGCTTCCATGTAAAATGAAAACTTTGTAATTGCTGAGCCTACGAAACTTCTATCGTGAAACATCTCCTCTTCCTCCTGCTCCAATTCGTTCTCGTCTCCATCATCCTTCTTCTCATTTGATTCCAGCGCCTCCTCGACTTTGTCCTCGCAGATTTGTCTGTCATCTTCCACAGCCTATACCGCGATGATTGTGGTAAGAGATGGTAGCGGAAAATGCAACGTAACAAGTCATCACGGACTCTCCTGGCAGTTGCTGGCATCCTGCCCTCCATAGTCTTCATCCCATATTCTTGACGAACTCCTACCTGTCTCCTTTGTTGCAAGGAAAGGCGTTGAGGCACCCGCAAAAGGCGTTCCCAAAATGCAACCTCTCCCCATTTCCCCCCCCACTCTCCTTCCATCCATCCCGGTCTCCTGATGGGCTTTTCCTGGATGATAAGTGCAAAGGGCCCAGGGAGTAAGAGTGGCTGACACAGCAGCAAATTATGTCACGATGTAGACATTCTCGGCTTTTAGAAGAATCAACGAGATTGCCCGGGCGGGGAGGAGACCTAGGGAGAAAGAGTGGTGAGAAGCCTGCCAACCACCCCGGAGTGGTAGAGACAGGCTGGATGTGTGTGCGCCCCAACGCGACGAATTTTTCGTGTCGGACTCCACCGCTCTCCCCCCTCATCGCTCTCCATTTTCCTGAGACCCCCACTCACCCTATGGAAGAGGGCAGCAAGCAGCTGTCTTGACCCCCCATCGTCTGCAAATCTCTCTCCTGCCCGGGCAGTGGCGGCGGCAGTCGGGCACCAAGGCGCTTCAGGTCTCTCCACTCGCTCTTTCTCTCCTACGCCATCTGCTCTCGCGCCCTTCCGAGTCCTGTTCAGGCCCTGAGTTGTCCATTCCAACGACTTTACAAGATACGCATATCCTTTTGTCCCTCCCTCTTTCCCTCTTGCTTTCCCTCTGCTCCATCCTATGCCGAGCACATTTCTGGCTCGATCTGTCTCTAAAGACGCGCACTGGGCTGGGCACTTCTCCACGGGAGGCGGAGGGAGATGCAGGGAAAAGGAAGAAGATAAGCAGCGGCGCTGGTGAGCAGCTCGCAAACCCTCCTCTTGGTCATGGACAAGCCCCAGTACGAGCCTTTGTCGGGCTTCCTCGCACTGGCAAAAAAGAATGAAGACGGGAGGGAGAATTGCAAGATAAAGACGAGGGACGATAGGCATAAGAGCAGCAAAAAAACGCTTCGAATTCATTGTTAGATTGTATGATAATATGTAAAATCCGTTCAATAAGGCTGAAAGGGGAGTGTGCGACAGTTACAACGTGATTAGGCAATGTTTCTGCCCTGTCCTGTCCTGCTGTCTCCTCTTTGTTCTTCCTTTCCCACCTCATCATACCCGACTAAGACCTCTCGCTTTGATGTCTTCCTCCACAGCACGTCCTGCTGCTGGCACTAACAAAGTCTTCAATTTCTCGCGCGTCTCCCGGGCCATACGGCGCTGGGAAGGGAGGAAGGGAGGTAGTGTGTGCGCGTGGGAATTAAAGGGATTAAAATTGGTGAGGAGAAAAACACGGAAGAGGGAGTGAGGGGGTAAAGTAAGCGAAAAATCCGCACCTGCGTTCGGACAAGGCTGACAGCAAACCATTCTTTCGCAAGGGCTAGAGCGGTCAAACGGGGTACATTTGATGATCTTATAGACAGAGAACTCTCAGGAGATAGGGACAGATGTTCCAGTGGTTTAAAAAGAGAAGAATATCTTGATGGAAGCACGTATGATGTCGTAGAGGTCCGTGGACGGGAAGGCTTCGGGGGAGGAATCGGTGATGGAAGATTTGAAGCACAAGCTGATAAACAATGAAGGTGAGTCGGGCAGGAGAGTTTTGTTGGAGCTGCCGCTGATGAGGGGAAAATGTACAACGCAGAAATAAAAACTCATGATGAATGGCGAAATGCCGTAGGATTACATAAAAAAACAATACACACCTTGATTTCCAAGAGGATCTGATGTCTCGGCATAAACTATTCTTCCACTGGTGCCATCTTCCGATTTGGCAGTCCATTTAGCTTCGCCCACACTTGTCATAGTAGACATCATTTATTTTTGGAAAAGACATATTTATTGTGCTTGTGTAAACCCCACATGGGCCTCTGGAAAAATGTGTATACCCCGCGTCAACTGGGGGCTCGACTGAAAAGCTGTCCGGAATAAGTGGGAAAATGAGGGCCTGCTTCTTGGGGCGAGGAATACGGATGCTCATCAGAACATTCTCTGAAAGTCTTGTATTTACCCCCGTGACAAGAAGGATTCAGCTCCGTTATTTGCCAGGTTCGGTGTCAGGATTGTAGGGGTTGTCATGTGGTCGTTTTTTGTTTGAAAGCAGTTTGAACTTGTAACGCTTGCGCTGGCAACGTAGCAATATCACGAGCTCGCAAATAGCTTTTATTGATATAAACCTCCGAATAAAACGCTACAATATTTTTAAAACGTATATATCACAAAGTTTGACAGTCGATGTGCTACTATTGCTGTTTGTTTGAGGGTCTTTGTGGTTTGTAGCTCGTCTCAAGCAAACACAACCTCCTACTAGTAGTTAAAAGCGTGAACACGAACACCCCTCTTTCACAATAAGTTCCGTTTTTTTTTTCTTTATCAAAGGATCTCCTTTTTCATGACTCTCTTCATAAGATTTCAAAGGGGGTCTTCTTGCTGAATCTTTTACTCCAGCCCACTCATCACAACCAAGTCCCTCACTCTTCCTTTTTATTCCCCCTTATCCTCTGCTGTATCTCCGGTCCTTTTCGTATTCTTCTATTTCTCCCTCCTTCGTCCTCCTTTTTAGTAGCAATCGTCTAGGTCTAGAAAGCTGGAGGAACATCAATGAAAATAGAGCACCGAGAAGACATAGCGTGTGCATCTACCAGCCCACAAAACGTAAACTCTACGCCTTTGGGCTATAGAACATTTATCTTGAGAGATTGGGGGAGGAGAGACACACAAAGATCAAACAAAAAATAAAGGGATATGGGACAATTCTTTGACTGAGGGAGGAACCGATAACTATGAGATTACAATCATTGAAGGGTGTCTGATACGACGATTATATTATTCGCTTTCCACACCACGGCGGTTTCAATGCAATGCCAAAGATATCATCTGTCCCTGCAGATTGCAGAGTGTTTTTTAACTATCCATATCACTCCTCATTGGCCTGCTTTCGCTGCGGTCGTTTTTGATCGGTTGTTCAACTTTTACTCCTCTTCTGGTTCTCATTGGATATGCTGCGCCCTTCCCGTGCGCGCTTTTCTAGCCGCGCCTCACTCCTTCATAAGCTCCTCGACCAGCTCGGGGTTGGCCTCTTGGACATCAGGAGGTATGGCGATGGCACCCGCGTGGACATCCTCACCTTCCTTTCTTCCTTCCCGGATCACGCGCAGGCTTCCCCCACGAAAACTACGGTGCAAAACAGTGGACAGCTTCTGCAGCTGCACGACCCTCTCGCCGCCCGCTCCCTCCTCTGCTCCTGCTTTCCGGGTCCTCCCTGCTTCCTCTCTCTCCCACCCGTCCTCTTCTGGCCCCTCTTCCTCCTCCTCGACTGGACCCCCGTCCCTCGTTATAGTTCCCTTTGTTGTCCCTTCCACACCTCTCTCCCGCTCCGCCTCTTCCTCCACGTCCAACATCAGCTGTTCGAGTTGCGCGCGACTGTAGCGCTTGACCGCATGCCGGAGCCGTAACCAGTTGTATACTGTGTTAGATGAGGCGGTGGAAGAAGAGGTCGAGGTGGAGGAGACAAAGGAGATAGGCCGGAGGGAGGTGTTGACCGTCGCGTCGCCGCCCAAGGAGGGAGAAGGACGTCGAGGGGCCTCTTCAGAGGCAGCAGCGGCTGCGGCCGCCGCCAGGGCACGCGCGGTTGCCGAAGCCGCGGGGGTGGAGAGGGGCAGGGACGGATAGCGACCCATCATGGCGCTGGAAATTATCACGCTTTTGTTGCTGCTGAGCCCCCGGGCCAGGCTCAGCTGGGACTGGCTGCTCGTCATGCTGCTCACATTGGTACTGACGGGGCTACCGTCCTGATTGTGCGCAATGCTCGGAAAGAGCGCGGGGCTGTGGGCGTACTTGCTGGCATGCCTCCCCACGGAGAACGGGGAGCCTCCCCGCCCTTCGTCCTGCCCTCCCTCTCTTCCTGGCCCGTCCCCAGGTCCCTTCCTGTGCGCCCTCAGCGAGAAGGATCGCATGCTTCTAGAAGCTCCCTGTGCTTCTTCGCGTCTCCCCTCTGTCGGCACCACGCTCATTTCTTTCTCCTCTTCCTCCTCCTCCGCCGTCAACACGCTCTCCGTCCTCTCCCTGACATCTGTCTCGTCCCAGATCTCCGTCTGGAGCATCATCTCCATCACGTCCTCCAGCGTGATGATCCCCACGGGCGCGATCCTCTCAGGCGTGAGCCCGCCCTCGCCCTCGCCCTTGCCCAGCAGGCAGGCCAGAGTCTCCTCCGGTGCCTCACTGACCAGGGCCAGGTGCGCGTGTCCGAGCTGAAAGGTGGAGAGGATGTCGATCAAGGGGCAGGAGGGCGCCACCACGATGGGGCAACGCACCAGCCGCTTCTTCATCGCGCCCACCGTCAGGCCCGCGTGGGGATCCACTTCGATCAACGACTTGGTCAGCACGTATCCGCACACCGAGGCCGCCTCCCGCTTTCCCACCCACCCTTCTCCCCGTCTTCCCTCCCTCCATTCCCTCCCTGAGGCCCGTGCATCTTCTCGAGTGCCGTTCATTTCCCCCCCGGAACTTCCTCCCCGCCCGCCCTCCCTTCCTTCCTTCCCCCCTCCCTGCCGAAAACACACGGGCAGTCGGCTGAAGCCAGCAGCTCGGATCGCCTTCAGCGTTTCCTCGTTGAGCGGCGCATCCACTGCCAGACAACAGACGCTTGTCCAGGGCACCATGCAGTCCGCCACCACCTTGTTGGAGATCTGTAGCACCCCTACCACGATATCTACCTCGCGCTTGGAGAGGAGGGTGGAGTGGGGAGCGGGGGGGGCGAAGGCGCCCGCGGCGGGCGGGACCGGCCCCGGGGAGTGCGAGGACTGCCCTTGGTTGTGCTTTTTCCCTTTCTTCGTTCGTCGGCCTTTCTTAACCCCCTCCTGTGCATCCTCCTCGAGTCTGACTTCGGGGGGGGGAGAGGGGGCGAGGCGTTGGCCAGGAGAGCGTGGGAGGCGAGGGCGGAGGGCGGGAAGGAGGAGGCGGTGTGGAGAGAGAGCAAGGCCGGCGTCCGCTTTCCCGCCGGGGCGAGTGCGAGGGAGGAGGAGGGCACGAGGGAGGGAGTAGCGCCTGGGGTTGCCTGCGCCTCGTCCGCCTTGTCGCCGTTCTTCCCTCCCCGTCTTTGCTTGAGGTGGATCTCCATCAGGGCTGAGAGCTCCTCCCGAGAGTAGCGCTTTCCGTGCCCGTGCTCGTCGCCTGAGTCGAGGAGGGAGGGAGAATGAGCGGGAGGGAGGAGGAGGGTGTTTGACCGGCATACTCCGCCCTTCATTCCTTTCTCCCCCCTTCCTGGGCCCCTTTTCCCCCTCCATCTCACCGAGGAACCTGTCCAAGCACCAGGCAATGGGGCAGGCGATGGGGAAGAAGAAGCAGATGAGGCACCAGACCACTGGGGTCATGCGAGAGCCGAGCTTGAGCTGGTTCGGACCCATGAAGATGGCCGAGGGGAAAATTTCCTGGAGAGAAAGGGGGTTAGGCGGGACAGTAAGTTTTAAAATTTCATGCTGCGAGCTTGGCTCCTAGCCTTGACCACGGCCCAGACAAAGAACTTGTCAATCAGGGAGAGGAAAGGGGGGAAGGGGACGAGGGTGGGGGAGGGGAGGGAGGGCGGAAGACATGGGAGGAATGACGGGCAAGAAGTGCCTCGTACCCCGAAAAAGAGGACAGCGGTAACCGAGAGGATAACAGCAATGTAGCCTGGCACCAGAGCATCAAGGAAGAGGGGAAGAGCCTCGGCGGCTGCGGCGTTGAAGAGGAGGAGGGTGACAAGGAGGAGGTGCCGGCGGTTCAGGAGGGGGAGGAGGCGGTGGGCCTGGCTGCGCTCCTCCACCGTTCCGATCCGCTCCTTGATCTCAAGCTCGAGCGGTTCGATGGACATGAGTCCGATAGTAAGCCCGCTGGCGATGGCCGCAGCCATCACACACGCGAAGGCGAGCCCTAGGTGGATCCAGCTCGAGGGGGTTTGAAAAGTGGCGAATCCGTTGCTGTCCTGGATGGTGGCGTGGAGGGCTCTGGAGGAGAAGTGTGACCGAGGAGGGCCAGAGGCACCGATGTCGGTGCTCTCCATCGACGCATCGAGTGCGGAGTGGGCGGCTCGAGGGCGCGCGAGGCTGTGACAAAGGGCTGAGGCGTCGGGATGGCGAGCAAGGACCTGCGAAGAGAGGGGGCACAGGAGCCGTTGCGGGGGGTAGAGAAATAAGTCAGTTCCCCCCAAAAATGCAAACGTATATTGCATGCCATAATCATGTGGATGGCCGAGGGGACTCACCGCGAAACATTGCTCGAGCCACTCATCGCGCTCCTCACGCTCCCCTCCCCTGTGAATATCCCGCTCATCGATCGCCCTCCCCGACCCCCCCCTCCAGCTCGGTTCCTGCCTCTGAACTTCATCTCGAGACACTTTATCTTGTTCAAGTACAGCTAGGTAGCGGTGCTTTCGTCCGTCGCGAGTGCGAAGATACGAAGACGACGGGCCTGGATAGCTTTCAGCCGAGACAGTGCCCTCTAGGAATTTGACGAGCGAAAATGACGCCGTGGCCATTTTCGGCAAGAGTAGCACACAAAGAAGGACGGTCCATACATGATTGAAAATCCTATTTCTGATATTGCTGACCGTGCTGCGTCTCACGATTGGAGCCGGGGTAGAGGCTGTCAAAATGTTCTCATGGCCATTGGAGCTGTATAAAACTGTATTGCTATAAGGTAGGAGTCGTAATACCATTTCCTGTGCGAAACCAGTGTGGTAAGTTTTGTGTATGGTCAAGATGTTTACAATTCAAAATTCTTGAGCGAATCGAGGTTCAGATCAAACTGCAGCAAAACCCCTTGTTCCCCTCTAACCCGAAGTCGACGGCTGTTGGTCAAATCGACGAGAACAAAGACATCCGAATTGGATGGAGTGAAGGATGCACAAATAACGTCGCCCCCCAGCAATTAATACATTTGTCACCCTGCCATCACCTTCTTCGGAGGGCAGTCCTTATATCTCGGTTGGCGGCAGGCGCTCTGAGATTCATGGCATCTTTGAATTTGTCAACAGATGCAACTCGGAACGATTTCACCATCCCTTGTAAATACTGCTTCAAAGACGAGACGAAATCATGCCGCCCCGCATGACAAAAAGAGCTACGGACAGCGTGCGACGCGCAGAAGGCGATTGTGCCAGGACACGATTTATTTTGAACAGAAGTAGTATATGGCATGGCCTAACGAGGCTATGACGTCATCCCCAACACGGTGTGGAATGCCGCCAACTCCCGCCCCTAGGCTTCTTATGCATTTTTATGACGCTGACACCATTTTTTAAATTCCAGTGGCCTGATCCTTTGCCACGCTCGATAATATCGCAGATGGTTTTGCCATCGAAGTCAAACATTGAATCTACAACGAAAAATGTGAAGATGAAATCCCGGAGGAGAGACCATCGGCACACAATTTATGTAAATAAAAATTACTTGGATTTCCCCCCTTTTTTCCCCACTTTGTCAAAAATATGTATGCACTCGAGCTTTCTTTATTGACAGGAAGCAGGCAGTCTATGTGCATGCTTTTCGATTACGTTTTACCCTACCTTGCGATGCCCCCAGCCTCCATAATAACCCTTTTCTCCCCTCTTATTGCTTTCCCTTCGACAAAGGCTGATAGAAAGAGAACATATGACGTTTGCTCATGAAACATGTCTTTACAATCGATCCTCACAATGATGAAAGTTCCATAGTGAGTGACTGGTCTCCCCGACCCCCCCTGCGTCCTCCTTTTCCTTGATCGTGGCCCTGGGCCTTCTTCTCTCTCGCTCCACCCTTCTCAGCCTCTATCTTTCTCGCAACCGCACCCCTGCTGTCCATGCGATTCCCCCAGAACGGTATCCACCATTTCGAGGTCTGCTGGAGGCTCTTATCCCCAGTCACTTGATTCTTCTCGCTGTGGCTCGCAACATCGATATCCTTCCTTCCTGTGCTTTTTTCTTTTGAAGGCCGAAAAGAGCTCATAGAGGCGATCATCGGTTCAGGAGAAGCCGACACGTTGAATAGGCTACGTGCTGTGGCAAGTTGACGTGGCTCCCAGGTGGAGGAAGAAGACGAAACCATCGTCTGCGATGTATTCAGCAGGGCGATTGAGGACCCATGCCGGGTGAAGCCGACCACTTGCATCTCCCCGTCTTCCTCCTGCCTTCTCCCCCGCGCATCCGCTTTGCCCCCCTCGGGCACCCCCTTATGATGCTTTTCCCTGCCCAGGCCCAGCGATTTTCCTTCCGCGTCTTCCTCATTCCGCCCAGACGGCGCGGGTATTGGTCCTTGGCGCTCCTCCTCCTCCTCCTCTTGCTCCCCCTCCTCCTCTTGCTCCCCCTCGTCCTCCTCCAACAGCCCCTCCAACCGGTCCTCCTCTATCACTTCTTCTTGGAGGAGCTGTGCCATCACGTCTTGGAGGGTGATGAGGCCCAAGGGCTCCGAGGCAAGGGGCAGGCCGCACAGGAGGCGCGAGGCCGCCTCTTCCGGGAAGTCCGTCCTCTGCAGGTAGGGGAAAGGAGAATGAAGGACAGGCAAAGGGTCGGAAAAAGTCAGGAGGTGCCAAGCCACGCTCCCCTCCGCCCCTGTCCCGGCCCCTTTCCCCCCGAAGCCCGTCGCCCTCCCTCCCCCCCACCCCCCAGCTCTCCTCACCGTGTCCACCACCACCGCGATGTGGGCGTGACTCTGCTGGAAGGCCTCCAGAAG